GGCTTTGTAGGGATGCGAGGTCAATGGTCTAACGACTACGGCATGCACGACTATGAGTACACCCCCCCCACCCCCCCCTACCCTTCTGTGTCTTGGCGGGCGACCGTTTCTACCATCCCCGCGGTTTCGCACCGCTCTCACCGGGACCACAGCTCCGGGTGTCCTTCATGGATTTATCAAACACGTGAAGCCCTTTTCTGTCTGCAACGCGTCGGCTGCCCAAGCGAACGGGCCACCGAAGGAGAACGATGACGGCATATCTACAAACGCGAAGAGTATGAGCAAGTTTGCCGAGGACGAGGGCCGTAGTGACGGCATCTCTGACGGCGGCGGCGGCGGCGGCGGTGACGACGACGACGACGACGGTAGCGGGACTGCGGCCAACTTCTGCGACTACGGGGATGATATGCATTGCTCTCCGTATGAGGCTACGATTGGTCACGTAACGCCCACCTCATCAGCGGGACGCAGCCCTACCATCACGATGGCAGCGGCAGTAGCGGCAGCAGGAGCAGGGGGGGGACTCACGCACACCAGGGCGGAAAAAGGCGGCGACAGCGGCGACGGCAGCAGCAGCAGCGAACAAGGAGTAGAGCAGGAAAGGCAACACGGAGCTCCGCGAAAGCCGGCCTTGCCCCCTTCTGGAGGCGCCGAGGCTCTTCGCCGGGCTAAGGCGCGCCTCCAGGGAAAACGAAAGCTGTCATACCGGGCTAAGGCGTGCCTCCAGGGAAAACGAAAGCTGTCATACCCCGGCTACTCTTCTCCGATCACCGAGAACCTCATCACGAGACCCGGTTGCTACGAACAGGAGGTGGGCCAAGACGACGACATTGTCGAAGGAGGTCACCGAGATGGGGGAGCTATGTCGGCGGCAGGGGGACGAGGAGGAGGAGGAGGAGGAGGAGGAGGAGGAGGAGGGTCATCTGCACTGCACAGTTCACTTCGCGGCACTGATGCATCAATGCGAAGTGCAGCTGTAACGTCGGCGGCGGCGGCGGCCGCGGCGGCGAGGCTCAGGACGTCGAGCGGTGTTGCTGGGACGCGAGGGGTTGGAAGTTCTTCTCGACGTAAAAGCAACGGCAACAATGGCAACACCAACAACAGCAGTAGCAATAGCAATAGCAACAACGGAGAAAGAGAAGGAGCGACTGGCAAAAAGAGGCGGGGCACGGTGGTCGGGGGAGTTCATGGTGGAAGAAATGGCGGTGGAGGTGGAGCTGAAACTGGTTGGTCGGCTCTTTCCTGGGGCTCAGCGAAGCAGCTACGAAAGCAAATGGAGGCCGCCGTAACAGCAGCAGTGAGAGAGCCCGTCTATTTTACCTCTGGTATACGAATCCGGCTCGTGTAGGTTGACGAGACATGCGTAGCTTCCTTCCCTCTCTATTTGACTACTTGGCCTCTCGGTGTACCTTTCTCTCGCAGGGGAGGCACTCCCACAATCTTTCGGCACACGAAATGTTTTTGGTACTGCAAAGAGAATGTATGCAGTTCCCCGGTGAAGTCACATGGAGAGTTACTCATCCCTTTCCCTTTTTGATCGTTCTTCCTGCCGTTGCGGCCCTCCAGGATGCTCAATAAGTGCATTGTCTGAACTCGGTGAACCGAAATTACACTCTCAGCAAACACCTCACTCAGGGGAACACGAAACTGTTTGTGTACTTCGCCGCGGCCGGTAAGCTTGTTGCCTTTTGGCCTCTACACCGTTACCTGTTCATCGTCTCGAAATCCGTTAACTGGTCTCCGTCCCCAAATCCCCCAGGGCAAGCCTGTCCCCGAGGGGAAAGGAGGGAGACGCAGCAAAGGTCGGGGAGGAGGAGGAGGAGCGGCCTCCACCAAGAAAAATATCACCCTATCCGACCCGGTGGCTGCATCAGGAGGGGGAGGGGCGGTCTCCTCCATTGGCCCCCTCGGCCTCGTACCGTGTTCGAACGCCCTCCGCCTGGAGTTTCCTCCCGCTGCGGGGCTCGAGTGCTACCTAGTGTCACTCGCCGCTCCCGCCAGGGACCTGGCCGCAATGAAGGTGAATGGGGCGAGGGGTTCTCCGATCGTAGCTCTGATTGTCGTGGATGTGTCGGCCTCATGAACGCTGTCGATGGGACGAGGCAGGTGAGGCTTTCGTACCCTGGTGCTCCAGTATGAGAGAGAAATGACGAGGGTAGAGGCAGGAAAATGCAGGAGAAACGCTTCTCAATGGCAGGTGTTTCATGGTTGTCCATATGTTCGTCGATCGGGGTTCACCACTTCGTTCTTTTCCGGTTCCGGATGGCGATGAAGTTGGGGATGGAGGCCTTTGAGAAGGCCACCAGGAGATGTTCTGCGCCTGGCTAGAGGTTCCGGGGTTGCACAACAGGCCGGGGTGAGGAGGGAGGGAGGGAGGGAAATGCACCCAACGGCAACGCACAGGATGTGAGCACGCGTCTCGTTGGACATTTTTTCCCCTACAGCCTCCTCAAGGCACCGGTGACCCATGCGATATGCCATGTGAAGCTCGTGTACCGCCTCGCCAGGAAGTGGTTAGTGTCCAGCGAGGAGATGGCTTGACACTGGTTTTACATGCACTTGTCGTAATAGCATGCCCTTCCTCGCTTCCATGCGTCTTACGCGGGTGTAGAATATTTTGTCGCGAATGCTCGTGCGCTGCGTTGCCCGTCGCAGAGCGCCTTCGAGGAAAATCCACAGCTCTCCCCAGATGTTTCGGGTCGAATGTCCCCCTCCCCGGAGGCATCACCACCTCTCTCCGCCTTGGGGGGGACGCACCCGTCGGATGGGTTCGACTTCGATCTCGGCCCGGACTTCCAAAATGAAACCGCCGTCGCCACCGCGTTCGTGCCGGCAGTCGACCACATCGACGAGGTTGGCGTGAACGTCGAGGCCGACGTTCCCGAGGGGAGTACACATCCGGTGGGTACACCGAGGTGGTTGTTGTTGTTGTTGTTGATGTTGTTGTTGTTGTTGTTGTTGTTGTTTTTGTTGTTGTTGTTGTTGTTGTTGTTGTTGTTGTTGTTGTTGTTGTTGTTGTTGTTGTTGTTATTGTTGTTGTTATTGTTGGATGGCAGGGGGAAGAGTCAATCGCGTATTTGGTACCATCTGTTATCGGGTAAGGTTGCTGCACCGTCCGTAGATGGCAGCTAGATTTTTGATCTGACCCTGTGTTGGTTCGTGCCAACTCTGTGGCCACATGACTCGCCCCTATATTTTTTTCATTCTTAAATGAGAGAGACTAAAGATGGACGGCATCAACTGCCTACCCTCCAATCAACGTTTACATCGTTCTTGCCAGAGTTCAAAAACGCCGAAACCGAACACTGGAGAACCTCCTGGCGGCGTATTGCGTACAGATACGGCGCAAGAGGCCCCGCCACCGCTGCCACCGCCACCGGTGCGCCCGAGCAACGCGGCAGCGACTGCAAAAGGCCTCAATCCAGGTACGCACAAGAAGGTGGAAGCACCAATGGAAGTGCTTGCGTACGGCTCAATCCTTGCAACAACTACACGAATGTTGCGGGGAGTACAACCACGTAAGTCCAGGTATGATGGACGACGTTCTTTGGGACAGCCGCGGTCGTCTTTTCGCAAGAGTATTTCAGTGATCAGCTTTGTTAGTCGCCTCCGTGCTGGCTTGTTTCGGTGGGTTTTGTCTTGGAAGGAGCATCAACCGCCATTCGCTCATGCTGTTCTCACGAAGTGAGTTTGTACATCACCACGACGCTGCTCTCGAGTTTTAGAGCCAACGGGCCGATTCCGACTTCTGCCAACCTCTTGATCGCCGCATCACTTACAAATATAGTACAACGACAATGTTGAGGTGTCGTTCGTGAACAATATGCGGCAGAAAAAAGCCGAAGCTCCTACACAAAGAGTCTCCGCGCCAATGCTCACGCCAAACTCTATTTGCGCAGGCGGGACTTGCATGATTGACCTCAGGAACATTTGGCAGCGCACGGAGGCAGTCTCGCGGGCCATCTCGCAGGCGAGGAGGGGGCACACAAGTCCCTGCAATTTGTCCGCCCTAGCGGACCCGAATAGGCTCGAGGCGCCGTGAAGGAATTACGACAAGCGTTCCTCATAGGGCTGTCTTCAGCAGCAGCACGCAAGCAGTCCTAAGGAAGGCTGGTCTAAGACTGGAGTTGATTCGCCGAAGAGCTATTTCCACTCGAACGCGTTTCTTCTGGCCTACATTGTAGTACCTGTTTCGTCGTTTTTTTCGGCGTCAGTTCTCATGTACAATTAAGCAGAGTAACCCCATCCCGTTTTATAGCACCTTCTTGGTAGCTGGCGAAACGATTGATGTTTCTCGGAGTTGCGGACGTCTGCGGGATATTTCATCGTGCGATCGATTGTCAATCATCACGTTACATCAACCAATCAATCCCATTCATCAGGCGTCAGTGAAGCAAAGCAGCCTGGTCAAGGATCTGCGCGAGTCTCTGGTTCGGTTGGATCTGCAGCACCGCCAGAAAGAAGACCAAGAAGCACGCCGACAAGTAGCTGAGCCGGTCGAAGGCGGCAAGCCCCGTCCTGGCAGAGGCGATGGCAAGGACGGTGGGCGGGGGAACTCCATCGACGTCGAGACGTCTATGTCCTTCAGGTCAGAAGTACGCGCCACCTCGTTCAGGCTCTGTCGTATCGTAGAACGTCATACGTAGGCAGTTCTTCCGTGAGCCCCTCAAAACCACGGCACGGAGTATATGTAACGGCTTCCCTAAGTGGGTTCACCCGTACCATCGAGATACAGGGTGAAGAGCTGGTGACAATCGGCGAATCAACGGAGCGGGTAGCCTTCAGCGATGAAGAGTTCCTTCGCAGCTGCAACCGTAACCAGTTTCGGGAAACAGATTGCATGCTTTTGGCACATCCCCATTTGACAGAATGCGGCATGAGCCATCCAAGCGCATGCACAAGGGTCAAGTCATGGCGTAAAAGTTGAAACTCCTTCCGGAAAAACGTCGACAGGCAACACAAGAACGAAACTCCCAACACCTCGAAATCATGACCGTCCCATCAAACGTTCGGTAGTAAAAACAATCCCTGCTTTTCGGTCATCTTGGTCCTATCTATGCGCTCCGCTAGCCTCAAACACCCCCAGGAGGAACCGGATGCTGCAGGGGCGGTGGCGACAGCAGCGGGTGGGGGAAGAGGCGGTGCGGCCCGAAGGTTCGCCCTCGTGGTGTCCCTCGCCCACGTGCACAACATATCGGCTACGCCTGGGCGTGGTGCTGTTGAAGGTGGCGTTGTTGGTCGCGAAAGCACCGATGGTGAGGGCAACCTACCGACACAGCTGCGGGTGCAGCTCGGCGGCGGAGGGAACGAGGCCATCGTGACGGCGCGAAGGAAGGGATCGTCGATGAGCGTAGGAAACGGTTCCTAGATCGGATCCCAGCACGGCCCCAATGAGCGTGTGGTGGTAGGTGTATCTGGTGCATCGTTTGGGCAAGGGATTCCTTTCAGGTGACTTGGGACAGCAGAGCGTAGAGTTAGGGGAGGTGGCGCTACATGGGTTCAAACAGCGTTCGCGGAAGCTGAAACGAACGGTGTTTGCTGGGCATGGCGCTCGGAGGGGGTTGATGGTGGCAGTTTGGGAGCGAAGAGAGTTGCCTGAAGCCAGCTATTGAACATTCACATATGGGAATTTTCTCGGAAAACTGCCCTGAATGAGCTGCAGCGGTGAGTGCGTTCTCCTCGTTCGCGGCAGGAATCGTCAGCCGCACGAAGTCGATATTTCCGGCATCGTTTGGGAAAAAACAAAATTTGCGCCGCGGACTTTTATTCGTAGAACACCATGTGAAGCAATCAGTTGGTCATGTTTGGGTGCGGCAGCATCGTCAGAGGCCGACAGAGAGAGAAGTTTGATTCAATACTTTTTGTTTCTTCGAGAGCGACAGAAACGCGAGAGGCAAGACGGTTCCCGCGCGGCATGCTCATCATACACACATCATACACGGAACCCCCGGAGGCCCAGTGGACAGTGTTGTGACGAGCACCCCAAACAGATCAGGCGGCAGGCAAGACCTATGCTTCCTACTTTTGTCCTTTGTTTGTCAACCCGGACCCCACGAATACCCATTTTCACCGAAGATACCCGGACGATATCGCCCCACAGGCTCATTCGATGTTCCATCAATATGCTTCCTACAGCTCTGTCAGGTCTGTCGCCTGTCGTGAAGAATACCTGGTAAGAGTCTGTTCGGAAGCAATAGTTCCGAAACGTAGCATCGATGAAGATGTCGAAAATCAATATCGTATGCATTCATACTCAAATGTCGAGCGGGTTACACTCATTGACCAAACGCGAAACGTTTAGACGTTCTCAACGCACTGCTACGGCTTCAAACGCCCCCCAGATCCCTGTACATCGAGTGCAGAAACTCCCGAACCCATTTTCTCTACCTCACGACGCATTTCCTTACAATCTTCCCCCCATGTCGCCCACCACTCCGAACAAACACAAATATCATAGGGGGGACGTTTTTGCCCCCTTCCCCTCTCCTCACCTCCTGTCCCACTCCAACCAAAAACGTTGTATTCCTACTCCTGTGTACAACTGTTCCTATCCACAACGTCGACGCGACTGCAGCGAGCAGATTTTCGCCGCACTCCAATCAATTTTCTTGATCACTTCGACTTTCACCTTACCGCCAAGGGGTTCAGTTCCTCCCACGGTTCTTTGGCCCCAAACGTTTTTCAAGATCCCTATCCGTCTCTGCTGTCCCGCGGCAAAATGGATTCTCTGCGCGAGTAATATTCTCTATTCGATGACCCCTCTCCATCATTCCTACCTCTGTACAAGGGCCCGCTACTGTACTTCTCTGTACATCGAACGCTGAAAAACAAACGAGCCTCAATGTCTCCTCACTGGCGCAATTTCTGCTCTTTCGTCACTCCTATTTACAACTCTGTTCACCTCCACACATTCCGTGCGACTGCAGCGATCAGGATTATTATTGCATTTCTCCAACCTTCACGGTGTTCGGCACAACTCAAATCGGTCGCAGTTGCTCCCGCACGCTTTCCAAGACCCTACTTTGTTCCTCTTTCCCGGCAGAATGAATGCTATGCTCTAGAAATCACATATCCCACCACCGCCGGCATCGTCCACCCTTGCTTCCACGTTGGCCCCTGCTTTGACTAACGCGTAGACCGCACCAGCCTGGTTTCGCCCGGCGGCGTACTGTTGTGCACAATCACACGATATGTAGGGGGGAGCGCTAAATGGTCGTCAAACCTTCTCTCGCTACAGCAGTGCCGGTTACGATGTAAGAAATAGTCGGGAAATGAAGAGAACACACGGATATATGAGAATGATTTGGCTTTGTCACGGCAAAAAACGATGAAGAGAAATGTCTCTTTTCTGACGACGTAGTCTATGTATTTTCAACCTAGCCCGGACAATTTGATTACACACGACATGCCCAATTGAGCTCGACTATTTCGCAGAGAAATGCGGCAGTCCGACGTTTTGCATTGCCTTCGTACGGCGAAGCCGGCTCGCATGAGCAATCGGGGGGCGGGAGAAGGGCCAAGTTGTACTTGTATGAGAGACTGTACTGAGATGGACAGGAGACAGCTGTTTTAGGGAAACCAATGGTGTAGTAGTACCTCTTCGGGCTCTTGGATACCTTTTTCTTGCTACGTGTGCGTGTTCTTTAGATCCTCAGATGGCTCTAGCACTTTCGTGCCCACGGGCTGAGAGTCTTTGCTAGATTTTGGCATTTAGCAACTGGCATACGGTTTAATGTGAAGTCAACAATGGCTGGGAGGAGTGGCAGCGCACGGCGGTTTTCTGAACCGCTTGCTTTCCCTGTTGACATGGGTATCTTCATTGATATATATAGATGTAGTCTTCTATGCATATGTACAGACTATGGGAGCGGATGCACATCCGAACCGTTGAAAACAGCATTGTTTTCGCGGAGGGGCCCTGACTGGTAGGCACAACGCGCAGAGACCCGCAAACGTATCTGTGCAGGGCATCCTTGTTGGGATTTGTATGCAAGAACTGACTCTATTCTACTGCATGGGTTTTGTGCAGTACTGTGAAGGCGTGTCTCCAAGTCTGTAACCGTCAGGTGAAGACAGCTTGGGCGCCTGTGTTTTGGATCTAATGATCACTCTGTGTTGTATCTACCCAAACTGCGCCACCACTGCCAACTACACAACAAACAGCAACTACAATTCTGTTGTCAGGTTATGAGCCTAGCGTTTGGTAGGTAATTCACATCGAGTCACACCCCAGCAGCAGCATGGCGTCCGCCACGAACTACCTGAAACAAGGATACGTCCCGTTTAGCGGGAAGCCGGAAGATTTCCACGGCTGGAGTGGCCTGTTCTACTCCATCATGGATGAGCAAGGATTAGGCGACATCATGGCTGGGACGGAGACCGCCCCGGCATCGGCGGCCAGCAGCGCGGATTCGGATCGTGCTGCGTTCGACAGGACGACGCTGGAATTCAA